ACACTTGCAGCTAGAAAGCTTATTCAGGATCTTGAAGATGGAACTTCATTTATTCATAAGCATCATAGAAATAGTAAAAAAACCATGCCAAACTCACTTATTCGTGAACAAATTATAAAATTGGGTGTAACATATAGCTTGGTTTCCAAATATACAAGGTGATTTTCTTTTATAAATTTTTTTAAAATATTGGTTTATAACTAATATAAATAAATATTATTTGTTTTTGATATAATTAGTTTCCTTGCTGTTGATGAAAAGGATAGTGAGCTGGTGGCTGAAGCCAAAATTTTGTCAGACCAAAGAGTAGTCCCAGTTGCCGCTGCTTCTTTTTCAGTATTGCGGTCACGTAAGTTATATTTATCTTCATCTAAGATCTAAGCCAATTTTTAGTTTATATTTACATAATTTATTGGGTGCTATATATAATTATCAATACTCCAGGTAGTTTAAAAAGTAAGTCAGTAAAAAGCATGACTTCAGGATTTAACTTCATGCCAGCACCTAAGAGTTTTCTGTCGTCATCATCAAAAAGAGCTAGTTCGTATAAATCTAGTAGAAGGCTGGAATCTTCTGAGCTGGAATTTAGAACTCATTGTATTTGTCTGGCAGATAAAGATTCTAGTTTTATAGAAGTGACTTCCTACGTTGGAAGTAATAATTCTTCTGTATCAGTTTTACCAGCTACTCCTGTAAAATCAAAACCTCCAAAAATTGAGACTCTTTATAGTTTTCTCAATTTCCAATCATTTGATGGATCATTTTTACCATCTGCTAAATTTTATTCTTGGTTTGGTAAACATGATTTTAAAGATTTTGAAAATATTGGAATTGAAAATGAAAAAGTATTATGTTTAACATTAGCACTGGCATATTTGGAAATTATAATGTTTGGAATATTTAAAGATGAATGTGAAATGTGTTATGAAAAAGCAAAAAAGGCTTTGAAAAAAGAAGTTGGCGGCGATGAGCAAAAGATTAATGAAATTTTGGAAAAGGTTAAAGAATGGGTTAATAAATGGACCAATGAATAATTGATTAGTAACAACAGGCTGCATTATTTATTGAAATTTAAATATATTATATCTATTTTAAATATTATAACTTTAAATATAATTACAATATTGTTGAAATTTTATGGAATTTAGTAAATACTATATGAGGTGAATCAATAAAAAAGGAACAAAATTTTTCTAAGTAAATATTTTCTTGATTTTAAGCATAATATCTTATCAAATTTAATAAGTTTTTTTTTATTTTAATTCTATATGAATCCAAGATATTTTAATTTAAAAATTAAAAATATTTCATTAAAAATAATCGGTCCCTTTTCTATTGACTCCCTCCCATATTTTTATTAAGCATAAAATGGGTTCTTTTAAAAAAATTTTTTTTAAGTAAGTTTTTATATATCATATACAAAAAGTTTGTACAGAAATAAAGTTACTCTACAGGCCGGAAGTTCATAATTTGTGTAATTTTAAGGGCAAAAATAGACCGCTTAAAAAGCAGACACGAAAACGTCAAACATTCATATAATTTTAAAAATATATAAGCTTTATCAAAAATTATTAAAATTTTTTTCAATGATCTTTTGAACTACTAATATAATTGACTATTTTTGATAAAAAATAAGGGTAGTAATTATTAAATAAAATATCTAATTTTAAACTTAATTATTTATATTTGTTCTAATATTGATCAGTGACTATAAATAATAAATCATTATTTATTTTTCTTATTATCAATACTTCGTTAAAAAATGTCACTTATAACAAAAGGCAAATTAATAGTATATGAAACAACCTGAAATAAGTCTCAAAAAAGATATCTTGGCATAGCAGGACTTACATTCAAAGAAATTCCTAATAATATCTAAATTAACAAGAATGTATCTAGCTGTTCCACCAAGTAAACGTTTATTCAGTGATGTTGATAACTTAATGATATCGAGAAAATAATAATTTCCTCTGAGCTTTTTAAAAGGATGGTATTCTTAAAAATGAATATCGATTAATATTAAAATATTCATCCTGAATAATATAATTGTATACTTTATTTACTCGTTTATTATAGCGATAGAATTGTTATGTGCATTGAGGAAATAAATATACGTTATTTTTTGAAATTATCAATAAAATTTTAAATATATCGTTAAAAAAGGATACGGGTAATTTGATCCAATTTAATGTCAGCTAAGATATATCGATATCCGTTTAAATAATATCTGCTTTGTAAATATTCCTTGTATATTTAAGTACAATATTGTCATTATGTTCTGTATTAGAATAATGATCCTGATGACTACGTATATCTAGATCTAACGCAGTCACCAAATTTCGGGTCATACGTGTAATTCATCAAATCTAGACAACATTAAACAACATCAATCGACTATGTTTAACAGTTATTATTTAGTATTTATGTAAACGAATGAATTATTTCACTTTGTAGGCAAGTTTCCATTATTTTTACTTTATTAAATAAAGGACACTACACAATCGATCCTAAAACAAGCATGCGCTCTTTACCTATACTCAAACCCACTATTTTTTTTACATTACAATGACTCCCCTTAATGATTTTCCGAGAGATTAGCCATAACGTCATTTTGATGACAGACACAAAAGCATTAATGGACTAGTCAAATTAGGGACTGTGTGAACTCCGGGTTGGAATACATTGGAATTTTGGTAGGGCAATTGACCAAATTTGCCCATTACTACTAATTCAGTAAGTAGGGTTGTAAATTTTTAATTTCATAATAACATATAAAACTGGTTTTAAGTTACATTAATTTTGTAAATTTATAACCATAATTATGATACTATCGATGAACTCCGACCTAGAATTTTGGGGTAAAATTGAATTAGGGTACTGTGGCGTGGCGTCATTGCAAATCCGTTATGTCTAATGGTCTTTTATACGCAGCAGGGTTAAATTCTATATAAAGTGGCGTGAGTACATCACGCTTCTACAATTCTTTAAATACACTATTAAAGATTTATTAAAGATGCAATTATATGGTCTTATTTTCGTTGTAGAAAATTGTTCATATCCTGTTCCTTTGCAAGATGTTTCAGTTGAATCGAATAGTAAAGTTTTTTTTTTATATTATATACAGTCAACTATCTATATAACGGATTTTCGGGTCTTATAATTAATTTTTTTGTAAAATCCTTTATATAGCTCTTTATATAGCTTTTTACTAATATTTATATAACAGATTTATAATAAATTTTAAAATTTTAAGTCCATTATATAGGTGATTTTTATTATAGGTGCCCGTTATATAGGTAGTTGACTGTATTTATTTACTGTATATATATTTATTTACTTTATATATTGCTAATGTTTCTTATAAATTTAATTAGTCGTTGATATGATAGCCGAAAGTAATTAATTTACAGTTCTGAATAATATTATAATTTATCATTTTTCGTATAATTTAATTATCTTACTTGTCTAATCTAGCAACGGTTTGTCAGACCTATAAAAATGTTGAACAAAATACGATTGAAGCCATCTATAAGTTTCCACTTCACGAAGCCGCAGAAGTTTGTGGATTTGAAGCTGAAATTGATGGAAAGAAAAAGGTTAAAGGAATAGTCAAAGAAGCAAAGCAAGCTGCAAAGGAGTATTACGAAGCTATTCAGGTAACATTAAGTAACCATATTTAAATTATTGTACCATACATACGCTTTTTTTCACACAAATATTTATTTACACAGCAAGGTTATGGGGCTTATCTACTTGAAGAGCAACTCGCAGATATTTTCCAATGCTCCATTGGTAATATCACGGCAGGTCAAACTGTTGTTATCAGAATTACCTATGTAACCGAACTAAAACATGATGCTGAATCTGAAAATGTTCGGTTTGTTTTCCCTACTGCTATCGCTCCGCGATATGGTTCATCCGATTATTCTTCTTCAAATGATGGGAAAAAACTTATTCCTGATGTAGTGTCTTATACTTATAAGACTGATTATTATTTAAAGCTTGCTATTACATGTAGAATGACTTCTGTTATTCAAAGTATCGAATCACCATCTCATCATATTTCGGTAGAATTAAATATTAATAGCAATCCAAATGTTTCAAAGGTTACTCTAGCCGAACAAATTACTTATTTAGAAAAAGATTTTATACTTGTTGTTAAAAGTCTAGGTCTCAATCAGCCAAGGTGACGATATTTTTAATATACTATAATACAGTATTATAATTATTTATCTCTTTTAATTAATGGGGCTTTTTTTTTCTGACTTTAGGGCCTTTGTCGAATATAACCCTAAGACGGAAACTAATAGTGTTATGCTAACTTTAGTACCAAAGTTTGCCATTAATGAAGCAATGTCCGAATTGATATTTGTAATTGATAGGTAAATTTCAAAATATACATAATAAGCGTTCTCATGTCATGATATTAATAAATTTTATGATAATAGGTCTGGTTCAATGCAAGGTGGACCTATTAAGAAAGCATCTGAAGCACTCCAATTATTTCTTCGCTCATTACCTGAAAATTGTCTTTTTAATGTGGTATCATTCGGATCCCGTTTCGATTCTTTATTTAAAAAGAGTCAACC